CCTTAGGGGAAGATGGGGTCGTCACAAATGGTATCAGAGCCTAGGTTTAGATTAACCTGGGCATGGGAGAAATTTCTTGATTTGGGACTTGTATTTGATTGTTTTCCTAAGGGTGTTTGAGTTTAATTACGTTTTCGTGTAGGATGGACGCGCATAGTGGATCTAGTGAGATCCCGACCGTGGAGCAGGGCCGTGGAGTACTTCCGGTGATCAAGTACCAGATCCGGCTGAGAGGGTCAGCGGTACGCTGGAGTCCGGCTAGTCGCCTACGGCGTTGTGAGTGCCGTCACACGTTTGCCTACCCCAATACATTAGTATTGGCCGTGGACAAAGAAAGGAAGGAGTTGGCCAAGGATTGTGGAAGGCTAGAGGCCGAAGTAAATCAATTGAGAGAGGCCAACAAGAGGCAAGCCGAGCAAATTAAGGAGTTGGAATATGACCTGGGTGAAGGTCAAGATAGGGTGGACGACCTGTGTACGCAATTAGGAGAGACACGTGAACGAATGGTCAAGAGGGCGAGGCAAATGAAGGAGAAGGCCGGATCGATTCTGAACATGTGTGATGACCTATTAGGGGACGAGAGTGACGAGGACTCTTGCGTGAGGGGTTCGGTCGGAGTCGAATCCGCTCAAGCGAGTAGGTCCTCTAGTCCCACGGTAGGCTAGGGTATGGATTTTAAGCCATTTTGGGAAGATTTTGACTTTGTATATATAAAGGGCACGGAATGGTAGGCCGGGAAGGACTCTTAGCTAGTCGCGTTGTATATAGGACTAGTTTTGTATATATTACTTTTGTATCGCCATTTCCGTAAGACACTCCCTGTTTGTACCTGACTGACTATTTTGGTGTAAATGTTTGATCTTGTTGTGAATGCTATGAATATGTGGTATGTGTTTAAGAGTTTTATGAAGTACTTGTTTGGCTAAGTGTTCATGTTTATTGTTATACACAGGGGTGTGTACACTTTCATCTTAATGCTATATTTATGTGTATATTTTGACCCTAGATTGACCTGTAACGATGGAAGGCACGCGTAGGGGCCGAGGTAGAGGACGTGAGGGTAGACAACCCACGACTGAACAGGGTACGGGAACTGAAGTGCCCGAACCAACACCTGAACCCCAAATTGATCCTAATGTGCAAGTAGCCGCTGCTATCCAGCGGATGACTGATCTCCTGGCCCAGGTGGTGCAGCAACAGGGCCTCAACCCTAATCCACCCGTTGGCAACCCTGGAAACCCTGGAAATCATGTCGAGAGCGAAGATCGAGCTCTCGAACGATTCCAAAAATTTTCTCCACCTAAATTTCTTGGAGGACCCGATCCGGACGTGGCGGAGCAATGGTTGGAGAAGATGATAGACATTTTTGCTGCCCTACGTTACTCGGAAGAGAGGCAAGTGACCTTTGCGGTTTTTCAACTCGAATGGGCTGCACGCTCTTGGTGGAACATTATTCGGACAAAGTGGGAGCGAGAACAGACACCAAGGACATGGATGAACTTTGTAAGGGAATTCAACGCCAAGTATTTTCCACCATTAGTTCAGGAGAAAAAAGAAGACGAATTTATTCGTCTACGTCAGGGTACGCAAACGGTGGCCGAATATGAAAGTCAATTTACACGCTTGTCCAAGTTTGCCCCTGAGCTCATTCTGACAAAGCAAAGGAGGGCCAGGCGTTTCCTTCAAGGGCTTAATGTGGAAATCCAAAAGGATTTGGCTGTAGCCCAAATCACCACTTTCAGTGATGCTGTGGAGAAAGCATTACGATCCGAAAACGCAAGGCTCCAGGTGAGGAATTTCCAGAATAGGAAGCGGGGAGCTGCTGGGAGTAGCTCAACTCAAGGGGATAAAAGTACCCCTCCTAAGTTTGGAAGGGGGGCTGGAGGGGGACGGTTCGCGAGTCCGGCCCGAGGGGCTCCCTCTCGAGGAAGCCAACCCGGACGAGGCCAACAGAGGAATGCCTCACAAGGGAGTTCCGCAACTGTTACGCGCGGGCCGTGTGGCTTCTGTGGGAAACCAAACCACACGGAGGACGACTGTTGGAGGAAGCAGAACAAATGTCTGCGGTGCGGAAGTGCGGAGCACCGGTTCGCTAGCTGTCCGGTCCAGGCACGAGACATGAGAGGAATTATACCGACATCTAAGGCTACTTCAAGTCAATCACGGGTAGATAGTGCCAAACCGAAGGTGCCCGCACGTGTGTACTCCATTGAACAACGGCCAGTTCCTGATTCCGCCGAGGTAGTGGAAGGTACGATTCCTGTCTTCCACCACCTAGCTAGAATTTTGATAGACCCTGGAGCCACCCATTCCTTTGTTAACCCCGAGTTTGTGTGTGGAATTGATATAAACCCTGTCACTCTTCCTTATGAGTTAGAAGTTAGTACTCCTACGGGGGACCACTGTTTGATTTCTAGCAAAATGTACACGAATTGTGAGATCTGGGTAGGTGAGCGGAGGTTATTGGGGAATTTGATAAGTTTAGCCATAAAGGGATACGATGTGATATTAGGCATGGATTGGTGGCTCGATACGATGCCCAACTGGACTGTAGGAGGAAAACTGTTGAATTTTGTATTCCGGGGGAGGCAACTTTGAGGTTAGATGTGAGGGGTAGTCTAGCCTCATCCGCTATGATTTCGGGTATTCGAGCTAGGAAATTATTGAGTAGAGGGGCACAAGGGTTCCTAGCTTTTCTTATTAATACTCCTGCCGATAAACTGAAAATAGAAGACGTCCCAGTAGTGAGTGAATACCCCGATGTTTTTCCTGACGAGTTAGTAAATCTGCCTCCAGAAAGAGAAATTGAGTTTGAAGTTAACCTATGCCCAGGGGCTTCCCCTATTTCCAAAACTCCCTACCGAATGGCACCTGCGGAACTCAAAGAGTTGAAATTACAGTTGCAAGACCTTCTAGAGTGAGGGTTTATTCATGAGAGCGGATCACCTTGGGGGGCACCTGTTCTCTTTGTTAAGAAGAAGGACGGGACCTTGAGACTATGCATCGACTACCGAGGGTTGAACAACGTGACCATTAAGAATAAGTACCCCCTACCTCACATTGATGAGTTATTTGACCAATTACAGGGTGCGGTGGTCTTCTCGAAGTTAGATCTTCGACAGGGGTATTACCAACTGTTAATTAGAAAGGAAGATGTACCTAAAACCGCCTTCAATTCTCGGTATGGGCACTACGAATTTGCCGTGATGCCTTTTGGACTGACTAATGCCCCTGCTGCTTTCATGGACCTCATGCACCGAATTTTCAAACCTTATCTCGACCGATTTGTTGTTGTTTTTATCGATGACATATTGGTTTATTCAAAAACCCGTGAGGAGCATGAAAAACATTTGAAAGAGGTCCTACAAACCCTGAGGGAGCACCAGTTGTATGCCAAATTTAGCAAATGTGAGTTTTGGTTAGAAAGAGTTGCTTTTCTGGGGCATGTGATTTCAAAGGAAGGGATTGCTGTGGATCCGGCCAAGGTAGAGGCGGTAACTGAGTGGAAGAGACCCGATAACCCTACTGAGATCCGGAGTTTTCTAGGGTTGGCAGGTTATTACCGGCGATTTATTAAAGATTTTTCGAAACTTGCCAGTCCCTTAACTGATTTAACCAAGAAGGGTGGACGATTTCTGTGGAGTGATAAGTGTGAAACCAGTTTTCAAGAGCTGAAGCGGAGATTGACTATGGCCCCTATTCTAGCTTTACCTAACGGTCCGGACGGTTTTACTGTTTACACTGACGCCTCCAAAGAAGGTTTGGGGTGCGTATTGATGCAACATCAAAATGTGATAGCTTACGCTTCCAGGAAATTGAAAACTCATGAGCAAAATTATCCCATTCATGACCTAGAATTGGCCGCAGTTGTCTTCGCTCTGAAAAAGTGGAGACACTATCTGTACGGAGTGACTTTTGAAGTCTATTCTGACCATAAGAGCCTTAGATACCTCTTTTCCCAGAAGGAGTTGAACATGAGACAGCGCCGTTGGATGGAATTCTTGGAGGATTACGATTATACTATTAACTACCATCCTGGTAAGGCTAATGTGGTAGCCGATGCCTTAAGTCGAAAGGCTCAAATTTCTGGATTGATGGTGAAGGAGTGGGAATTACTGGGAGCTGTTGGAGAATGGAATCCAACGCTGGAGCATAATAGGATAACCTTTGGGAATATCCGAGTGACGTCCGTGTTTTTAGAAAAGATCAAGGAAGCTCAAATTAAGGATCCGACAGTTCAAAGGTGGGTAGAAAAGGTGAAGAAAGGAGAAATACCCGATTTTAATTTGAGCCCTAAAGGAATTTTAAAATTTCGAAATCGAATAGTGGTGCCCGAGAATGAAGCGTTGAGAAGGGAAATTTTGGAGGAAGCTCACCGATCTAAGTATACAATCCATCCAGGAAGTAACAAGATGTATCATGACTTGTGACGATTGTACTGGTGGGACAGGATGAAGAGAGAAATAGCTCAGTACGTACAAACCTGTTTAGTGTGCCAGCAAGTTAAGGCTGAGCACCAGAAGCCTTCGGGACTACTGCAGCCTTTGGAGATTCCCGAATGGAAATGGGAACATATCACCATGGACTTCGTTTCTGGACTACCTAGAACTCAAAAAGGATATGATGCCGTTTGGGTAATCGTTGATCGATTGACCAAGTCGGCTCATTTCCTACCTGTGAATATGAAGTATTCCATGGATAAGTTAGCTCAGGTATACTTGGAAGAGATTGTAAGATTACATGGAGTACCCCTGAGCATCGTTTCCGACCGAGACCCTCGTTTCGTGTCCAGATTTTGGCAAAAGTTTCAGGAGACCTTGGGGACGAAGCTGAATTTGAGTACTACTTATCACCCTCAGACAGATGGACAATCAGAGTGAACGATTCAGACCCTCGAAGACATGTTATGAACGTGTATCGTAGATTTCGGAGGTAATTGGGGACAGCACATGACGTTAGTAGAGTTCGCCTATAATAATAGTTACCACTCATCAATCCAAATGGCACCGTACGAAGCTCTTTACGGGCGAAAGTGCCGTTCACCGATATACTGGGATGAGGTAGGAGAAAAGAAGATCCTAGACCCTACTATCATCCCTTGGATGGAGGATGCACAAGAAAAGATTAAGTTAATCCGTCAAAGACTCCAGACAGCCCAAAGTCGCCAGAAGAGCTACGCCAATAATCGAAGGAAAGACCTGGAGTTTGAAGTAGGAGACCAAGTATTCTTGAAAATTACCCCATTGCGGAGTGTCACTGCCGGCAGAGGAAAGAAACTCCAACCCAGATTCGTGGGACCTTTTCCGATCCTTCAACGGGTTGGAAAAGTAGCATACCGACTTGAATTGCCGCCGAGCCTGTCACGGATTCATGATGTATTTCACGTGTCGATGCTCAAAAAGTATTACCCCGATCCAACTCACCTGGTCCAGCCGGAAGAGATTGAAGTTGACGAGGCCCTTTCTTATGAAGAAAAACCTGTGCAAGTGCTGGATAGGAAAGTTAAGGAACTGAGGAATAAACAAATTCCACTGGTGAAGGTTCTGTGGAAAAACCACGGAGTCGAGGAGGCAACCTGGGAGATGGAGAGTGGGATGAAAATCAAATATCCCGAACTGTTTAGTGATTCAGGTGAGAAATTTCGAGGACCAAATTCTCCAAGAGGGAGAGAGTGTGAGACCCCCGAAAATTTTCTTATTTTCATGGCATTTAATTTGGGCTTTTGGGTCTAATTTTGGGGCTTTCTTTTATCTGTGGATTTTCTGGGGAATTTTATGAGAAAATATGAATTTTGCATCATTTTCTGGGTTTAGGTCAATTTCTGTGCTATTAAGGGTGTACAGTGGTCGCGGGACCCACTAAGGCGATCGGTACAGTTAAATGTAGCTTTGGGAAATTTTATATACAGAAGCTTTATGACCTAGTGTTATGAGTTAATTAGAGGTTAGTTGGTTTAATTAAGTGTTGTAAGACAAAAGGAAGAGATAAACTTGAAAGACAAATGTTGCAATTTCATTGGACCTTGGATTTTGACTTTTCCTACACCTTTACTAATTCAATTTTTGACCAAAATTCCTCTTCATTTCTTACCTTCTTGGCCGGCTGCTCTAGAGAGAAAAAGAAAGAGAAGCTCTTCAACTTTTGCTTCACTTCCTTGCCAAATCTTGTAAACCAACCATTAATCTCCCAAATCTTTCCATAAAACTTGCTTGCTAGGAGTGTTTGAAGTACTTGGTGGATTTTGTTTGAAGAGAGGGACTTTCATCTACCTTGTATCAAGTATTTGTAAGGTAAATAAATATGGAATTGTTTCTTTGTTGTTTGTAAGATGGAATTGATAGGTGATAGTGATTAAAGATGCCATTTTGTGGATTATTTCAAGACTTATGGTTGAGTTATGTCAATTTTCTATTTATTGAGGAATTTTCTGGTTTATATGATATCTCATGGTTGAGTTGAGTGTGATGGATTTATATGGCTTGGTATAGAGCCTTTGTGTGTTAATGGTGGTTAATTGTGGAAGATTTTAGCATTTGTGGGAAAATTTCGGTTTTAGGGTTTGGTGAAATTGGGGTTTTTCCATGTATGGTTTTCATGCTAGCAATTGATGTGTATTTGATTGTATTGTGTTTCAAATGAGGTGAATGGACTAATTTATGACTCATAAGTGTTTTGGTATAAGTTGGGTGTTGTTCCTTAGGTTGGAAATGTGAAGAAATTAAGGGGAAATGCCGCCCAATTGGTTAGAAATATGGGTGGTCTTGAATTGAGAAGGAAAGGAATAGAAATGGAAGAATTGGGGAGTTTGTTCCCATTCCACACTTTAGTTGCTCTACTTGTTATTTTGAGTAACTTGTATTAGTAAGTTTAACTTGTACGTTGACTCGTGATTGAGTCTCAAATATGTTTGCTTGCTTGTTTTAGGTCGTACCGGTGGACCGGGACCTACTCCTGACTCGAACGTGTGATTTACTTGATTGCTTGGTGAGTGTACCATACAATGGTTGAATGTACTTGCTATGTGATTTGAATAGGTCGAGGGTGTACTTTATCGCTCTTGACCACTTATGTGCATTACTGTTACTGTTGAACTGTTGAATTTCATGTGTATATGGGTTGATAATTGCTAGGGCTATGCCCTATTATTACTGTGAAAATTGAGCTCATTCCCTTAGACCGTTATTCGAGTCGGGCCGGCAAGGGCTTGGGCGATTCGTTAACGAGCCTTTGGGACACTAATAGGCGAGTGGAGTGTTAACTCCTCGACCTTGTGGTATACTCGAGTATTACCTTTTGAAACTATGAGGTGTGCGGGCCCGATTAGGGGGTGAATGGTGGAAGGAAACGGTGAGAAGAGGTGTCTACGGTTCTTGGTTATCTTCAATGGTTGACGGAGTGTCAACGAATATGATCAAGTATGGAAATCGGAAAACGGCCCTTGAGGGCCGACTGTATCCTTTTATACATGGTTGAGTTCAGAAAAACACTTATGTGTGTGTTCGATGGATTGTATGACTTGTGAAATTGGTACCTCGCGAGCGTAAGCTCACCCCCGTTGTTTTGTTTTCCTTACAGGGACACTGTTGGACTCAAGTTTTGAAAAGGGTTGAGCTAGTTATGTAGTTAATTTTGAATAGCTCCTCGTACATTTCAAAACCTTGGTGTATTTGAATTCAAGTACTTTTGGAATTGTATAATGAAATTCCCCTCATGTGTATATGACATGTATATATACCTATATCAGGTCTTGGATTGATTGCATTGTGTGTTGGAAGCATTTTATACAAGAACTGTTTTCGAACAAAGGTAGAAAAGAATTTTGACGAGGTTACTGTTCACGAATCCGGCCGAGAATCCGGCCAATTTCTGGCCGGATACAAGGCCGGATATGCAGGGGAAAAAGAAAAAAATTTGGTTTTTGGCTTCGGGTGGCAATCCGGCAGAAGCAATCCGGCCAACTTCCGGCCGGATTTCCGGCCGGATTGACAGGGGAATTTCGACCCCTTTGGGGTCTAGCCTCGGCCTCCTATCCGGCCGAGAATCTGGCCTGGTATCCGGCCAGATTTTGGCTGGATAGTGACGTGGCCGGTTACTGTTCATCCGCGGCAAATTTTCGTTTTTCGTTTTCTTGTCCGATTGAAGTGCTCGAGCGCCATACTTTCTTGCATAATGATATTATGGTTATAGGAACAAGTTAATGGGATAAATCGTTCACTTTGTTGAATTTTCCTTTATATATTAAACGAAATTCGATTTGTTTGCGACCCGTAGTCCTGGCGAGAGTTGGGCAGGCGGTCCGTCGACCCCTCTGGTTCGCCTTAGGGGAAGATGGGGTCGTCACAGAAGCCTTTGAGATGATGCTTGTGACGACCCCACCTCCCCCTAGAGTGTACTTTAATGTTTAGTGGACTGCCTACCTAACTCTTATCTAGATTCACTCAAATCTTTCGTTCAATAGCATTAACTCCAAAGTAAGCATTAAAACACTACAATTAAATATTACAAACCATCCAACTTTCCAAATCAACGATACTTATGTGTACAACTAAACGGATCAAAATACAAGTTGTTCAATCAATTCACTAAGTACAACTAGGATGCCAATTTACTTAAAACAAAGACTTCAACTCTCAAACTCACTATTCTCCAGTTCCATGTTTCCAACCCCTATTAAGAAAAATAAACAAAAAGGGGTGAGCTTGTGCCTAGTGAGGTTCTAAGAAAACAGGTAACCTTAAACACTCAATTTCACACTTCAGTAATATAACAGGAATAACAAACCCATTAATAATAGGATAATTTGTGAAACAATTCTTAACAAATAGTACAATCAATATCAAAGGATACTATACTGATATGGACTCTAGAGATGGCTCCCATCTGTTTCCAGACGTAGCACTTAGTCCCGTTCAGTATTTCACTTGCAACTAAAAGAATACAGTCGGCTCTTGCAAGCCAGTTCAACAGTAGCGTTTTTCGAGTTCGTTGGCACTCCGTCAACTATTGAAATTCAGTAATAAACAATATCTGTAGATTGCCGCTTAATGCCAGTTTCCATCCACCGATCATCCCCCTATCTGGCCCAAATGCCAAATATATAACAAGAGACGTAATACTCGAATATACTGAATCTAGTAATAATAAACACGACCTATGGTTCATCAATCATCTCAACCAAACCCTTGCTTGTTCGATTCAACTAACTAGCCGATGGGGTTTGGGATCCCAAGTACGCAGTATAGTCGATTAGATAACATCTCTAGTTGACTTTTAAGTCATACACATATATATCAGTTCACTTGTAAACAAGATAGCAAGAGATCAGTCAAGTTAAATCGAGTGCAATAAAGTACACACTTATTTATTCATTTGCAGTTCAAGATATATAGCAGTATCAATCAACCAGACACATTAATCATTAATCAAGCAAAACATATAGTCCTCACATACACTTAGAACACTCACCGATTTAGTGAGAACTGTACACTTTCGCCTTGGGATCATCCACTTGCCCCCTCTCGAGTCCTGAGACCAAATATAAGTACACGCATGCATGTCGATTCCATCCATCAATATACCATAAGAGAGTACAGATTACATTCAAGTCTCAAACAACCCATCCAACTCCCACTCCCAAATTTCACATGTTTCTCTCTTGTAAAAATCAAGAACTCAACATGTATAGTAGAGCATGTGAAAAGGAATAAGGCATCAAAATTCCATCAAGACCCAAGTTCAAAAGCAACTACAATTGAGTTCGTAAATCATTACTCCACCTGTCAAATTTCCAACAAACATATCTCGTATTTTCCTTCAAAGACTACAAGGTTTTCTTGTTCAAATCAAGTGAAAAACCACGTATATACTAGATCAACATTTCAAGTAATATATGGGGTGATGCAGATACGGGTGTGCAACCACTTCAACCTTGGGTCCAGGACAACATTGACGGTCCGATGACAAGATCAAGATCCAAGAAGGTGAAGGAAGCTTTAAGAACCTTGATTATTCACCATACAAGCAAGGAGCAGGCTAAGTTTGAAGAATTGATGAACCATGAAGTTACCTTGCTCACTTGTACATTTGAAGTGCAAGAATGATCTCCTACTTGGTAGATTAGTTAGTAGCTGTTTTAAGACTGTCTAGTTTAGTAGTTGTTAGGCGTTGAGTATTTTATTACTTATTGGGCCTTATCGGAAAGCCTTAAGGAGCTGGCTCTTTAAGCTCTTTACGCGGACCGAATTTCTTCCAGGTTTATGTGGGCCGGATTTTTGCCCTAGTTTTAGCCTATAAAAAGGTACCTCTTGTATGAGTAAAAGACAGAATATTTTACAACCAGAAATCGTGAGGAATTTTCCTTTCAAGTTCTTAATCGAACTTACTCTTGAATTCTTGAGTTCATTGCTTAGGATTCAAATCTGACTTTATCGATTAGTTTGTTCCCTAATCGTGGTGTCTCTTCATCTATCTTTATTTGCTTAAGGTTGCTGATTGCCTTTGTGTGTCAGAGGTCTTGAGTTCATGAGAACAATCGAGTTCAATTTCCATTGGGAGAAAAGGTCCAACTCTGATAATTATAAGGTTGGGAGGTTCTAGGAGGGTCTTCCCCTAGGGTTGCTCATCAGTTGGTAATCAGAGCATTAGGTTAATTCTCTTTCAATTGAAGTTGTTCATATCTTATTAGTTTGTGTCTTTTGTCAAAAAAAAAAAAACTGTAGCGATACTGTTCATCGTTACTGTTCCGAAATACTGTTCATCGTACGTAGCGTCTGTTCACGTTACTGTTCATCCGAAAAAAAAAACTGTTTGGGTATTGTCTTTTTGTGTTTTCTGTCCAACTTTTGTTCTTGAGTCTGTTATACTTTTGTTCGGGTTGTTAGGGTTTAAAGACAAAAAAAAAAAGAGTCACGTACCTTATATTGCTTTTAGTGTCCAAGTTGCTAGAGTATTGCTGGAATCTTTCTTTTGAGTATTGCTGAAATTCTGTTTTGCCTATTTCTTGAATATTGGTTGTTGTTCTTGCAAACCCTAAACACCACAACGTAATTTGGGGAAGTTCTTGAGCTTCTTGAACAAATTCTTGAAGTTCTTGGACCACCAAGCCTTGTTTTGAAGGTTCTTGAACAATAAATCAAGAACTAGGGTCTTCTTGAAATTTGCATAACCTTTCATCCATTTTTCTTAAACTTGTTGGTGTGATCTGAATTTGTGTTCCTTGAAGAGCCGAAAAAAAAAACGAAAGAAAAAAAAAAGGAAGAAGAGAAGGCATTGGCTCTCACACAAAGGAAATCAAGTTTCCCAAATCTTGAGTTTCCAATTCTTGATTAGTCTCCAAATCTTGATTGGTTTCCCAAAAAAACTTGAGTCTCCAAATCTTGATTAGTCTCCAAATCTTGGTTGATTTCCCAAAATTTTGAGTTTCCTAATCTTGATTGGTTTCCAACTTTTGAGTTCCAATCTTGATTGAATTCCAAAGATCCCAAATGACCTAACCAGCCCCAAACACCCCCAAATCAGTTTCCAAAACCAAACCTAAACTGCCACAAACACCATTTACCATCCAAATACTGGCCAGAAACTCAGCAAAAACAGCCACTCAAAAAAAAAAACAAAGAGAGGTTCTAGCTTCGGGTAGTGTTTCTAGGATTTACAAAATTCTGCTTTGTGTCTTATTACTTGCTTATAGGGTAATTAATTCTGGAATTTTTGAGAGTTTGAGTTGTTTTAAGAACTTTGAGAAGGAAAATTGAGAGTGAGTGCGTTTCCTTGAGTGATACACGAGTGCTTTGTGAGGTAGACTAGGATACACTTGTTTTGCAGGTTTGACAATATGTCTCAAGAGGGGAACATGCCTGAGCCGTCTGAAACCGACGTGTCACTCAAACTGGTGCTCCAAGCTCTTCAAAAACAAGTGGAGAGACAAGAATTTGTGACGACACAACTATCCGACAGGTTAGCTGCCATTGAGATGCGAGGTACTGGAGATATTCCCAATAGGGCTTCAAGTGCTCAGAGTGTTGAGCATGATGCAGATGATGAGGGGTATCATTCTAACACCTTATTCCGATCAAGGAAAAGCCACAGGGAAGCGAGGGAAGGTCGAGACCGACCTAGGAGAACCGATGACAATCTTGGTTCCATCAAGACTAAGATGCCTACCTTTCATGGAAAAAATGATCCTGAAACTTACTTGGATTGGGTTAGGCGAGTTGAGCAAGTGTTTGAAGTCCACAACTACTCTGAAGAGAAAAAGGTGAAACTTGCGGCTATTGAATTTGAAGATTATGCATCCATTTGGTGGGAGCAAGTATGTGCCATAAGAAGGAGAAATAGGGAATCACCAATTGACACTTGGGCTGAAATGAAGCAAGTGATGAGGAAACGATTTGTACCCTTCCATTATACCACGGACTTGTACAATCGGCTCCAACGACTCACTCAAGGTTCTAATTCGGTTGATGAGTACCACAAACAAATGGAGGTAGCGATGATAAGGGCCAATGTCCAAGAGGATCCGGAAGCAACCATGGCGAGGTTCCTTAATGGATTAAATCCTGAAATTAGGAAGAAGGTTGAACTTCAAGACCACTTTGAACTTCAACAAATGGTGTCTTATGCAGAGAATGTGGAAAAGCAAGTCTTACCTCTAAAGACACCTAGTGGCCGAACCACTACATCCTCTTCCACCCCTTGGAAAAGAAATCAATTTTCAACATCCAGTGCTTGGCCAAGGCAAGGTAATAGAGAGAGGGAAAACAAGCGGATGGAACAACCGTCCCATCCGAGTGCAACTTCTTCTAAACCAACCCCGCGGTCAACTCTTCCAGGAGCAAATACATCTACCAACCAGCCAAAGGCATGTTTCAAATGCAAGGGAATTGGCCACCTCATGGCTCAATGCCCTAACCGAAACATCATGTATATGAATGAAGAGGGAATGTGGCAAAGCGAATGAGAGGAGGAATATTCGGACATGCCACCGCTTGAAGAAGAGGGGAAGGATGATGACCTGGTTGAAATAGAAGAGGACCCCGTGGCTCGAACTATGGTGACTATGAGAGTGCTAAATGCACAAGCTCAAGAAGATGATCTCCAACGGACCAACATTTTTCATACAAGATGCAAATTTGGAGATGAGGTATGTCTCATGATCATTGATAGTGGCTCTTGTACTAATTGCGTAGCTGCTGACTTTGTTGAGCAAAAACACCTTCCATGGACTTACCACCCTAAACCCTATAGACTATCTTGGTTAAATTATGGGGGGGGAAGTCAAGGTGACCAAACAAGCTTTAATCGCTTTTTCTATTGGTCGGTACAAGGACCAAGTTTTATGTGATGTAATTCCTATGCAAGCTAGTCATGTCTTATTGGGACGTCCTTGGGAGTATGATAGACAGGCTGATCATATTGGACTTACCAATAAATATAAGTTCATTATGGACAACCTCAAAATCACTCTTTCACCATTGACACCTACACAAGTGTATGAAGAACAATTGCATTTAAGAAAAGAGAGAGAGAAAAGGCAACCGAAAGAAACAAAGAAAAGCCGAATGAGAGAGAGAATGAGGGAAAAAAGAAAGTCGAGGCCGAGTTGAGTGAAAAAGGAAATTCGAGTGGAAAAAAACTCAGTGAGGCCGAGAGCTTGAAGGTGAAAAAAAGGAATTTCTATGCAAGTGTGCGTGAGGTAGATATGGCTTTGAATGCACAAAATCTTCTCGTAGTACTTCTGTACAGGGAAGCTGATTATTCTTCTTTTTACACACTAGGCATAACCGATTCTCTTCCTAGTGCAATCTACTCTCTTTTGCAGGAATTCAAGGATGTGTTTCCGGAGGAACTACCGAAAGGATTACCTCCAATTCGAGGTATTGAACATCAAATCGACTTTGTTCTTGGAACAATTCTACCAAATCGACCAGCCTATAGAGCAAATCCGGAGGAAACAAAGGAAATCCAAAGGCAAGTCGATTCCCTCCTTGAAAAGGACCAGGTTCGTGAATCTCTTAGTCCTTGTGCAGTTCCCGTTATTTTAGTACCTAAGAAAGAAGGGACTTGGAGAATGTGTACAGATTGTCGTGCAATTAATAAAATTACTGTTAAGTATCGTTATCCCATTCCTAGGCTAGACGATATGTTAGAAGAATTGCATGGAGCAATCATTTTCATTAAAATTGACTTAAGATCTGGATATCATCAAATAAGGATAAAGGAAGGTGACGAATGGAAAACTGCTTTTAAAACGAAGTATAGTCTTTATGAGTGGCTTGTGATGCCTTTCGACTTAACAAACGCCCCAAGTACTTTCATGAGATTAATGAACCATGTTTTAAGGCATTTTCTTGGAAAGTTCGTTGTTGTTTATTTTGATGATATATTGATCTTTAGCAAGTCTTTAGAAGAGCATGTTGAGCATTTGCGACTTGTTTTAAGTGCCTTGCGTGAAAATAGGTTATTTGCTAACCTGGAAAAATGTGTCTTTTGCACTCCTGAGGTTAACTTTCTTGGTTATATTATTGGAGCAAATGGCATCAGTGTTGATCCCGTCAAGGTAAAGGCTATCATGGAGTGGCCGACTCCAACCAATGTGTCTCAGGTAAGGTCTTTTCATGGTCTTGCAAGCTTCTATAGAAGATTTGTTAAAGACTTTAGCACTATTGTAGCACCTTTGAATGAGATAGTTAAAAAAAATGTGGGGTTTCAATGGGGAAAAGAGCAAGAAGAGTCGTTTAATAAGCTTAAAAATTTGTTAACTTCAGCACCTATTCTTGCTTTGCCTAATTTTGATTTGATGTTTGAAGTTGAATGTGATGCTAGTGGGATTGGCATCGGGGCTGTTTTATATCAAAATAATAGGCCCTTGGCATATTTCAGTGAGAAGTTGAGTGGGGGAGCTCTTAATTACCCTACTTATGATAAAGAATTGTATGCTGTTGTGCGTGCTCTTGAAGTGTGGCAGCATTATCTTATGCCTAAGGAATTTGTGATACATACTGATCACGAATCAATTAAATTCCTTAAGGGGCAGGGTAAGTTGCATAAAAGACATGCGAAATGGATTGCATTTATTAATTCCTTTCCATATATCATTAAGTAT